CACGTTAGATAACAGCATTTGTTATGGACTGAATTGTGTTTCCCCTTCAAATTTTTAGGTTGAAATCCTAACCACCAATACCTCAGAATGTAATTGTATTTGGATAAGGTCTTTAAAGATAAGTTAAAATGAGATCTTTAGGGTAGGCCCTAATCTAATCTGACTGTATCCTTATGAGATGAAATGTGGACGCACAGAGAGGCACCAGGATGCACACACACAGAGGAAAGACCGTGTGAGGACACAGCTGAGAAGACAGCCATCTGCAAGTCAAGGAGAGAGGTCTCGGAAGAAACCTAACCCACTGGCATCTTGATCTTAGACTTTTAGCCTCCAGCACTGTGAGAAAATAAATTTCTGTTGTTGAAGCCACCCAGCTGTGGTACTTTGTTACGGCAGCCCAGGAGAACGAATACAGTATTACATCAACATTAAAGCTTCTGAGGATGAAAATCATTCTCTAGTTCTGTGACATAATATTCTCATCCTTAGACAATTCCCCCTGAGATATGTGAGATGTGTGTCTGCAGCTTACTCTTACGTGCACCAGCAGTAATAATAATTATGATGACATTAAGTGTGTAGACAAAGAGAGTTAGAGCAAATAAGGCACAAGGTTAATAACTGGTGAATCTAGGTGACGGGCAAATGGGAGTTCATTGTGTTATTCTTGTAATTTTTCTTTAAGTTTGACTTCTTTCAAAATGGAGTTTTTAGCGGCTGGCTGGTTAGCTCAGTTGGTTAGAGCGCAGGGTTAAAACACCAAGGTGAAGGGTTCAGATACCCTTACCGGCCAGCCACGAAGAAAGAAAAAAGTTTTAAAAGAGATTCCCTTTCTCTCATCTGAGATGGGAGCAGGGAGGGAGTCTTTTGGAAAATGAAACCCAGGCACAGGATCCAGGACCTACTCTGAGTGGGGCACAGTGCCCAGCGTCACCCATCCATCTCAGGCAAGGACAGCTGTTTCTCATCTTATAGAGGAAGAGCAGAAGCTCTGAGACCAAAGCCACTTGCCTGAGATCACACATCAAGAAAGTGACACAGCTGAAAGTGAGCAGGTCGTGTCTGCACCCGCTGCCCTTCCCACCCATGCTTCTGTGCAAATAAATGGAGTGCGCACAGTAGGCATTTAATAAAGGCTGAAAGGAAAAGATCCCTGTGCTGCTGAAAGAACAAGACCCTGGGTTCAGACCCCTTTGAGAGCAGCTGGACCTACTGTGCTGAGTCTGCGAGGTGCCTGTCCCACAGCTGGCGGGTCACACCCCTCCCTCCTGACCCACCAGACCCTCCTCTCTTGGGGCACAAGTGCAGAGGAGAGAAGGCAGTCTGGCACATCCGGCGAAGGGCCCACCATTCCTGCTCCACCCTGATTAAGGGCAGGCACCCACCACCCCATGCCCAAGTGAGGAGGAAAGTGCCACCCACCGCAGGGACAAAGCTGAGGGGCAGGGCCTGGAGAGGGATGGTCAGGCAGCACATCTGGCCTGGCTGCCTCAAGTGCCTGTCACTCATTTTCCCAGAGGTTCTGGCTACATCCTCCTCCTCCCAGAGAGGAATCAGTCAGCTCCTCAGGATGGGGAAGGTGATGCTGCTGAGCCTCCTACCCATGCAAGGATGCCCACGAGCCCTGCCCACACTGATCCCCACACACCCATCCCTGCACGTGTGCCCGTACCCATCCACGTGCCCCCTCTGCCCCTCAGAACATGAACCCTTCCTTCCACCCTGCTCTCCTCTCTCCATTCTAACTCCAAACAACTCCATTCTCCCTAAATCCCAAACACACCCCACCTCTTCCCTGAGTCCACCATCCTTCTGACAAAGGAGATCCCTCAGGCCTCCCCCTGCCTTGACAAGCCCTGCTCCCCGCACACCTCCAACTCTCCTCATCCACTCCCCAGCCTTACCCACCTTGTCCCCTGCTGCCCCCAAAGGGCCCCAAGTACTGGAACCGACCCTAACTACTTGGTCATGAGTTCCCACCCATGTGACTCCACTGGACCCTCACAACCACCTGGGAGATGGCTACGCTACAAGCTGACTCCACCTCCATCTCAAAAGAGGAGGATTAACTGGCTGAGGTCACACAGCTACTGAGCTGCGGAGCTCAGAGGTTTAGGAATCATGCGTCTTCCTCCTACAGTGGGGCTCTACTCTGTTGGTCATTCAAACCTAGTTTGAGCACAGTTATTAATGATAAAATCACCCTTTTCCCAGGTGACAGCTCTTACTGTTTCAAAGTCTTTATAATAAATGGAAGTTGGCTTTCCTGAAATTTCTATGTATTGATCCATTTCTGCTCACCAGAGCTAAAGAGAACTGTCACTTTTCTATGTCTTTAAATTTTTGTTGTCAACTTTCGTGTCTTCTTCAAGTGTCCTCTTTTCATGCTAATGTGAACCGGCTGGACTTTTGTTTGTTTATTGTCGTAGTTGAAAAGCTTGGCTCTTCCATCACTGTTATATACCCCACTATTGGGACTTGTGCTCAGAGTATACGCTCTAAATAAATGCTTTTGTAAAAAAAAAAAAAAGAAGAAGAAGAAGAAGAAGAAAGAAAGGCCTAACGATCTCTAAGACCACTAAGCAGTTGAGGGTCAGAGAGGTTCATGCCAAAGGTCATACAGCCAGTAGAAGAAGAAGAAGAAGAAGAAGAAGAAAGAAAGGCTTAACGACCTCTAAGACCACTAAGCAGTTGAGGGTCAGAGAGGTTCATGCCAAAGGTCATACAGCCAGTAAATGGCACAGCAGGAACTCCAGTGGAGAAAGAGTTGCAGAGATGGGAAAGCTCCTGTCCAGAGTCACATGGCAAGCTGGTGGAACTGGGACGTGAACCCAGGACCTACTGCTTCGTCTGTCATATACCAACCAAATCACAATCTGCAACTCAATCCTCCCTCCTACTGCTGATTCCCTTGCCTTGCTCTATTTTTTCTCTTTTCTATAGCACTTATCTTCTAACATACTTTACGAACTTTATTAAGTTATTAGAACATAAACTCCACTAGATCAGGGATCTTTTGTCTCTTTTGCTGACATACAAAGGTACTTCAAAAAATTCATAGAAAGATGTGTATTATCTTTTAATTCTATTTTTCCATGAACTTTCTGAAATACCCTATTTCAAGCACCTAGAACAGTGTCTGCTTCATATAGTAGATGCTTAGTATATATCTGCTGAATAAACAAACTGGCCCAGCAAGCATTTATTGAATACTTACTGTGGCCGGGCTGTGAACCTTATCACTTTGCTGGATCCCAAATCCACCCAGCAAAGCAGCCCAAACCCAGGCCAAACTTGTACATTTCCTTAAGCAACCAAACTTCCAAACAAAACCAAAACCTAAGACTCATCTTTTATCTGCATAGAACCTAAATTTCCTGGAAGCTCCCTCTGAGAGTAGTCTCATCCTCTGCTCACCGCCACCCACCCAAGAAAAGGCGCAGCGAGACTTAGAGGGACTGTAGTCCCTCAACCCAACCACCCATACCAGATTCACTGCTGGCACTTTTTCTGCATCACTTTTGCTAAACAAGACTCAATTAGATCTGCCACAGTGCAGGTTCTGGGTATCACTGGGTACTCTGGCTTCACAGACAGAGCAAAGATGGGATGGGGTGGGGGCAGCTCATTTGTACCAGATGCTCCTCCCCAGGACTTCAGATAAGGTCCCTGACCTTCTGGCCTTTCCTTAGTGGTGGCCAGTGCCCCCCTGGTGGGAGGGCTGCTGAATGGGCAAATTCAGAGCCATCTCACAGTGCAAGAGCTGCAGACTTGACTCCCTGGGTTCTTCCAACAATTCCCAAGGAGCCTCTCCTTCAGCTGTCAGGGACATGAATGCCATGTGCATCCGGGTTTAGCTGAAAAACCTGCAAAGGGCAAGACTTTGAGACTTTTAACATATGGCTTTTAGCCAAAGCCACAAGGCTGTTCCAAGAAGTCCTGAGTCTATTTGTCCCCGTCCAAGGAAAAGAACAACAATCTCAGAGAAAAGTAAGGCTTTCCGGAAATGTTGCCCTCCTTCAAAATGATCTTCCAGAAGAGGGAACCAAATACAGACTACATCAGCCCCTCCCCCTCCAGACTATAAAATGTAATAACAGAGGGCGGCAAACATTTACCGACCTCATACTGTGCCAGGTACTGTGCAAACATGCAGCAGAGATCGAATGATCCCTGCTCCACCTTTCAGCTGTGTACCCTGAAACACGTATTGCCTCTCTGTGTCTCGGTATCCTCACTTGGAAATGAAAAATGATTGACTCTACTTCGTAGGATTGTTGGGAGAATTCAGTGAGATAATGCTCAGCCCAGTGCCTGCCACACAGTAAGCGCTTAATAACTGGCACTTCTTTCAAAGGAAAGAGCCGATCCATACTGAGAAAAGGAAAACTACTATTACTTAAGGCTTTGTTAAAAATCCTACAAGCCATTATTTACGCATTTAGTTATTTCCTAAGAGCTTGCTGACACCCGTTTTTCAAATAAACTTTATCCTCTCAGCATCTTCGGGGTGGCTGGGGGGGAACGCAGAGGGAGAGTCCTCCTGACAAAAGGAGAAAAAACAAGACCCGTGGAGGTCCGGGGAGGCGGCCGGCAAGCACCCGAGAAGGAGCCCTCTGGCCTCAAACCCTCCCGAGGCTGCAAAACACCAGACGCGCCTCTCCCCGGGAGAAGTGGCTGGAGGCCATTATCAGAGGGGCGGTCGGCGCTGGGGCTTTCATCCACCGCCGCTAGGAAGCGGTCATCTTTTGTCCCTAAAGAAAAAATGCACATCAGGGCCCAGAAGTCGGAGGAAATCAGTCAGCGCCCCGAGACGCCACGCGCAAGCTTTCAACGCTGAGACAGGCCCCGGCAGAAATAAACGGGCGGCCCCTGCTCCCAGAGGCCGCGAGGCCCCGGAGAGCTCGAAGCGGGGCGTCAGGGCCCTAGAGGGTGGGGCGCTGACCGGGGGAAGGGAGAGGGGCGGCGGCGTCCAGGGCTTCCCAGGCTCCGCTCACCTGGCTGCGGCGGATGGCGCACCTGGCAGGGCCAGGCCCCGCGGGCCCGGAGAGGGGCTGGAGTCGCCCCTGCTCGGGAAGCCCGGCCCCCTGAAGCAGCCGGCGGCGGCCCGGAACTCACCTGCCGTCACAACCGCGCCGCCGCCGCCTGTCAGTCAAGCGCGCCCTCAGCGGCGCCGCGAAGGGTCGTGGGGCCCGGCCGGCCGCGCCCCGCCCCCTCCCCATAAGCTATCCAATCGCAAGAGGCCGACGCCACGGAGGTGGGGGCGTGGCCACGGGGCGTGGCGTGGCCACGGGG